TACAAAGACTGAGATGGTTAGGACATGTGTTACGTATGCCTAGTCATCGCCTCCCTCGACAAGCAATGTTAGCGGACATAGGGTCAGGCTGGAGAAAAGCTAGCGGCGGTCAAACAAAAACTTGGCACCAGTCAATGAAATCCACAACAGTTGGTCTAAGCCACGTAGGAAGGTGTAGACTTCCTGGTTGGGATCCTCGGGATGGTAAAAACCAATGGTTGGAGACAATTGGTGACATGGCCCAAACTCGTCGTTCTCAATGGCCAGCGCAGATGCATCCACTCCTTGTGACTTATGATTTCCAATGAAACTGTTTTGTTCTTCGTTATTACTCCTTTGTCTCACACCTCTGCTTACTGTCTCTATTATGCTTTTCTTATGCTTTCTTCTCTTGCTTCGCGTGCCACACGGAGTGTGGTGACTTGAACTTCCGCACATTTGTGCAAAGTTCTATGTCAAAAACAGACGGACAGTTCAAAATTCAGCTAAACCTTCGTCGGTGTGCTGGCACTGTAGTTGATGGCGTTTTGTCAAATTTTATCCTTTAAAGAAGCATAAATGCCGCAAATGTCACCATTTTTCGACATAAAGAGGTCTACTGTCCACCAGAGAAAAACTCTTCGGTGAGGGAGAAATGTACTTCTTTTAAGCCGAAACAATCCCCTCAGGTACAGACCATTTTTTGCAACGCCCAAAATCAATTAAGGCAAAAAGGAGACGAATGTATCTTGCTTTGTCTATTAACGGCAAACCTATTCGCCTTCATTTGACCAAGCCTATCGCTAAGAATGCTTTTGGGGATGTGCTGAAACTCATGAGTGAAAGTTTAAAACACACTTCGGTTAATTTTCTCATGACGAAAGTATCTTGGAGGTTAGTAAAAAATTAGAGGGATCTTCTATCTTATTTAAAACGTTTAATCAGCCTTATGTTAGTCGTTCCTAGCATATCTTGAATCACCTTAACTAATTGTGTAACAGCAGTAAGCAAGACATGTGAGCCAAGGTATATTTTCAATTGATCAAACCACCATTTATAAACATACAGTTTTATATTCTCTAACCAACCACATCGTCAAACGACACGAAATAAAATGTTCAAATACATATATAGTATTCTGTTACTAATGCAGTGTTCAACTATAGGAGTAGTATTCAGACGTTAACACCAACAAATATACAATGATTCTTACTGTGAGAGTAATATTCAGGTTGGAACCCATTGTCTGGATCACACCACCAATATAACTTTATTGGATATGATAAATTACAAGAAGTGGCTTCATCTGTACCACTGGAAATGACTTTGAGTCATATCACCGATGGTATCCAGCCTTCATTGGTTTTTACCGTCCCGAGTACCCCAACCAGCCAGTCAGGAAGTCTGCATCTCCCTTCGTGGTTGGCCAGCTTAAACTAACTTTTGTAGTTTTCATTGACTGATGAAGCCATGTTTTGTTTTGGCCATTATGTGCTAGCTCTTTTCTAGCCTGATAGAACCTATACCAGCTAACTTTGCCCTTCATCGAGGAAGGCGATCGATAGCTAAGAGGGATGCATGCGTAACACATCTGCGCACCATTTCATTTGGTGTAGTTTCGCACCCTCATCTATTGATTTCTCCTCACACCTACCTAGCACTCGACTGATTCCTCACTTGGCAAAGTTAAACTTTCGACACCACTAACAACCAATCAGCAAACGACTTTGAACGGACCAATCATATTAAATAGGCATATATGATGAATGGAAACGTATATTTATAGAAAAAAGCATAAAAAAGAGGATAAAACGGTTACAAGGGGTATCTTTCTCGAACATGTTCGAGAAACATCTCCAAGTTTAGCATAAGACTGTCAATGGAGAAGTCACACCACATCGTGTACTTATATTTATCTGAATGCCGGTAAATGAGATCCTTTTGAGATCCATTTATAGCCCTTATCCTGTTTATCAAGCAGCCCCAAAAACCTTCAATGGAATTCGCATGAGTCCTCGTAACGGGATCCACCCAGCAAACAAGTGATTTTCCCTATTTTACACGAAGCAATATCTCTACAATGCTGGTACCACTAAACTGTTGAGACAAGACTATTCTCAGTCTCGGCAGCTGCTGGTCTCACCGGCTGTTTCAACACCCAGTAGTTGCAGATGTAGAAACTCTGGGTTAGGGAGAGATGCGACCTAGGGAAAAAAGTTCCTACGAAATATTAAAATTATCAGCTTATCCGCTCTAATGTTAGCACGCTTCAAACACATAGCACAACGATGAACAAACCCATCAGTTGATCTGCTATAGCTTTTTAAAGTCATGATGCCAACACACGAACAAGTTCGCTCCTTCCGGAGCAACCCTAAATCCAGGCAATACTGGAAAACACTATACTCCTCGAATTGCAACCGTAATCTTGTAAGGTCGCGTATTAGAAAAGAATCAAGCGCTCTACAGCATTGAACTGCGTTCGTGAATCTCATTGGATAATTCGACATCGTCCGTGAATCCCATTGGATAATTCGCTGATTGGTAGTTAGTGGTGTCGAAAGTTTAACTTCGCCCCTCACTTCAATATTGCTCACTTTATTATACCACCACCTAACACGGGAGATAGAACACAGCCACCTATGATCAAGGACAGCTGGGTAACCAGCCTTTTCATATCGTACACTTTCAATGCCATGTCTCGCTCACAGGCATAAAGGAGGTGAATGGGGCGAACTACTACTGAGCAATGCACATGCCCTTTGATAGATAGCCGGCTGGATATCACATCTAATCAGCCAGAAATGGCATAATTTGGCATTTGCCAGGTGACCCTTCTGTATACGTGCTGAGATTTCATCAGCAATCAACCCTGTAGCGTTGACTGATGCAACTTTCCAAATAAGCGAATTGGTTTACATGCTCCACCGACCACTTCACACCTGTCTATCTTTAAGCCAGAAGTGTGTCGATGTAATCCAATCCAGTAGCATCATCTTACATTTGGCGGGAGCGAAATCGCATGCCAAATATTCGGAGAATGCAGCTCAAGGCATTCAGAAAACTCTTTATTTTGCCATCCTCTTCACCTAGTCAGGAAGACTATATCATCTGCATATTCTAAGTCAGCGAAATTATTCCCTGGTAGCAGGTCGACCCCTGAGTTGGTGAAGTGAGTTAGTGTTAAGTCAATTAGTAAATCTATGCTGAAATTAAACAGAAATGGGGATAGTGAGTGGGCGTCTCTCATAATGGACATCATTTGTTGTCACCAGTTCAGATGACAACTCGCCGTAAGCTCTCACTGGCTGGCTGCATGAGTTCGAGTAGAGTGCCTTGACCAGTGCAGTGTGTTTTCTCGGCGTTCTCTTTATAGCCAAGCATCGCAATAGTACCTCTCGGTCAACGGAATCGAATGCTGCGTTTAGGTCAAGAAGTGTGACGCCGGTAAGTATCCTTAGGTTCCAGAATCTGTTGAAGGGTGAAGTTATGATCAATACACCCTCTTCCTGGTCTAAAGCCTGCCTGATTCTCTCTCGTGTTTGTTCCTCCCAAGCATGGCTTTGTCTACGCAATATTATTGAACCTAGAACTTTAGATAACATATTGGTCAAGGTAATTCCCGTAGGATTATCATAGGAAGACATATTAGGGAAGGAATTCAAAGGAACTACAATGAGCAGAACTCTCTGGAAGAAGGAATAATTACGCCGGAAAACATGAGCGCTCAAAGGATCTAATAGTTCATAAAGATTGAATACATCTGAATCACTGACAACGACTTTGAAACGTACCATAAATCGTTTCGAGCCATTTGGAGGACCCCCACCAACCATCCTACACCTCCCAACATCGCTAAGATCATCTATCAAAGACATCATGGGCTGATTTAATTTTCCTGCCTAATTGATCTCCTGCTGAGTAAGGCGGTGGCTTAGGATGCACAATACGTGTCCCATCCACCTCAATCGATTCTACCTCACAGCCTCTTATCTAACAATCTACACCTTATCTCACCATTGTTCACAATATTATTAATAACCGGTTACATTGCAAAAAGCATTAAGAAAGATACAGTGATATGCTGCCCTGTCTCTCAAGATTGGTGAGTCCTTCAAATGTATGCTTTCACAGGAGATAATACGAGAAAATTATTCTTGAAAAACGCTTTATTTGAAAGCATGCTTCATAAAGAATGCAACAACGACTAAGAATAACAATAACAATAATCATAAAAAGAAGAAAGTTGAATAAATAAATATTCTGAGAAGAATAAGAAAGCAATCCCGCCCCCCCTCATCCAAAAACAAAAAACAAATTAAAACTCTTATTTCTCCCGTGTGGCAAATTCAAATTCTAATATATATATATGTATATATGTTACATAGAAAGCTTATTTCCTTTGGATAAAAATAAGATTAGTGTGACATAATTCAAACTAAAACAGTCTAAATGATAATCATTATCGTAATAACTATTATTATTATTACTATTGCTAGGCTTTATTTTGATAAATAATATTAGTAACAGTAATAGAACTAAACACTGGACAGCTTGACAGTTCGGCAGAAGAACGTCGGAAAAGAAAGACAGACTGACGGAGAGAGAGACAAATAGAGAGACAGCGAGAAAGGTTAAAGAAGACAGAAGCCATGCCTTTCTTTTTTTTAAAACGTGTATTTGCGCACGCGTGTGTGTGTGTTTGAGTGTAGTTAAACAAATAAAATAGAATTGCTTTGTTCAATATTCAATGTTCGCGGGTTTATTTTCAAAATAAGCGCGTAAATAGTAATAATAATAATAATCATAGTTGGATAAATAATCAATAAGAAGATAAGCCAATAGAATTTTGGCTATGTAAAAATAAATAATTATGTGCATATGTATTGATTTGTGTTGACGAGGAAGGCGCTTTCTTCAACTGGTGATAGTGATAAGGATAATAATAATAACAACAATAATAATAATATCAATTATTATCATAATCATATATAGATTTCGTTGTTACATTTTGATCAGGTCTAATGTGAATCATTAATATGTCGGTGGGCACCGAATGACATGCCTGATTGTGAAGCAACTTGACTTTGTGGTAATCCCATTTGTAAACCGATAACAGATGCTCCATCTGCTGACAGGTTATCACAACGAATATCTGTGATATGACGTTGACCACCCATACGCATACCTTTTTGACTAGCTAATTTATTTGTACCATATTGAAGACTAATCACATTTTGACCTTCTTTTGACATATCATCACAACGAATATCAGCGATATGTCGACTTGCACCTATTCGCATACCCTAGAAAAAGTAGAGAAGGTGGAAAATTACTATTATTATTATTATTATTATTGTTGTGTCCTTTAATTCCTTGAGAAACATAGGATTTCAGTCACACGTCTTCACTGCGTTCGGTTCTCTGCCAACGTTTTTACCTGGCTTCACGTCTACCCACATGCTTTCATCTCCTCCTAACATGACCTCAGAGTATGGCCAATCCACCTCCATTTCACTCTGCATATTTGTTCCACAATTGGTTCCTGGTTGGTTGGTTGGTTGGTTCATTGCCAGAGATCCCTGTTGCTGATCTTTTCTGGCTGGCCATCTGATCTCGAGTGGTACTGAGCGAGGACAGCTGTTGATGAAGGCCTGTAGTTTATTCAAATTGGCATTCATCACACAGCAAGGCGTCAAGTCTCTGATCCGTATAGTAAGTAGTACTGATTTCACATTGGAGTTGAAAATTCGGATCTTATTTTCCATGCCGATTGCTGTTGACCTCCATACAGACTTGAGAGTAGTGGAAAACTTGACATGCTTTCTAGATCCTCGCTTTGATATCCTCATCAGTTCCGTTAACCTGTGGCTGAAACGATGCTTCCCGTAGGTAGGTAGGTAGGTAGGTAGGCAAAGGAGTTGCTTCTTTCAAATTTCTCCCATTCATACGACTGCTGTCTGTTGTTGTTGCAACAGCCAGTCAAAATCGGAAGGTAAGTTACGCATTCATCAACCTAGAAGCAGTCTGGACATCTTCTGCACATAAAAAACAAGATTCGGATTCTGTTCAGTAGAAATGTGAAGTCAGCAATTCATCTCTGCTATACAAGTCAGAAACGTACACTGTATGTGCGTCACGTAAAAAAATTTCCAACAAGCTAATACAGACTTTTATCAACGACTGCCCACTTCACTGGCTCCATACTGAGAATCAAATACCCAGTCGGCCGGGCAACCAGACAGAATTAGCAACAAGAAACTCTGACTGAGAACAAGTCAACCAACAGCCGACTGCTCAGTAAATATGTAGCAGAAAATGGAGATAGATTGATTGGGCAGACGTTGATGAGGCCAGTGAATGACGTCGCACATCATCCAGGCCATATCTATAGTGCAAACTCGATGGAAAGTGTGACATGGAGGAGATCGTGGCAGTTGGAGGAGGAAATGAGAGATTGTTGGCAATTGTGGACCCAGATGAAGAGGACAGCAGAGGAATAGAACACAGTGAAGATGTGTTGTATCCTTGAATTCCTATGTTCCACTAGGATCCCAAGGGAATAATAATAAATTAATAGGTATAAGAAACCAAGTAATACTTATTCATATTGTTTTACCTTTTGTGAAGCGAATTGATTTGTACCCATTTGAAGATTGATAACCGACTTGCCTTCTTGACTCAAATCATCACATTTTATATCGGCAATATGACGTTGATTACTGAAACTCATTCCTTTTTGTGAAGCAAATTTATTTGTACCCATTTGTAAACTGATTACAGCAGCGCCTAAAGTTTGAAATATAAAAGAAAGAAAGAAAGATCAATCAGGTTACTGAAATTTCTGGGTTTTGTAGGAACACCGGATTTATATCACTGCAGATATTATCACGAGTAACTGAAAACGACTTTTTTTTTATTTCTTCACGTTCCCAGTCGAACATAGGGCATCTTCATGCTAAAGACTTGAAGTCTCGGTAGTAGTGGTTTTTAATTTTTTTTTACGGGATGGGGTTGCTAGTTTCATGCCCAAGCTTCTCTCTTTACCAGTCTTATGACTGGCTTAGCGAGATAAAGGAGTGCGTCGGTGGTCGGGGCTCGAACCCCAAAGCACCTGCGTGGTTGACGACCATTCTACCACTTCACCACCAACGTGCTGGACGTGGTGGCGTATGCCTGTTATCTGGCTATTTGGAAGCCAGGGTGAGAAATTTCGCGGGATCGGGAGTCCTGGAGTTTGGGTGCTCATTTTGATCGGGGGTCCATGCTAAGCACGGTGGCGATATGGATGACCTGTCAGAGGACAGGTTGTCCAGGCCGACTAAGGAGAGGCGAATTGGCCAATTTAGGAGAAACCAGCAGGCAAAAGACAATGAATTTGCTGTCCAGCTTTGGAGCTCTTTAGAAGTCTACACTGACAAGCAAATCATAAGTAGAACCTAAAACCTTCAGGATACAAGGCTGATCCATTGATGTTTGTTTATTAAAAATTAACAGATGACAGAATTCAGGAGTCATTGGAGTTGAACTCAGTCTTCAGACGGTCGACAGATTCAATCGTAACCTGAAGGTCTTAGATCCTTGGATTTCTGGAGAGACAGCCATTAGTGAGCACTGATACGAGTGCCAAATCGTAACTGTGTAGTCCTAGCTTGGAACTCTTCAACTGTATGCACCAACCGGGGTTTGAAAGAAACTTTGGCAAAGAAACCAATCAAGAACCCATCACTCAACAAATATTCAAAGGGAAATGGAAATGGATGGGACATGGTTTTCTGAGGAGACAGTTTGATGATATCACGTGCCAGGCCGTCGAGTAGAACGCAAATCGGAAACGGCGAGTTGGGCGTCTGAGGGTAGTACGGTTAAACGAGAAACTAGGACTTCAAAGAACATGATGAAATAGAGACGCATTATCGAATCCCCACATTCCACCCACCACCTAGATTAATAACAATAAAAGTAAGGAAACAATATCTGAAGGGAGAAAAGCGCAAAATGTATTCATTAGTGTTTCACTCACCTTCTGGTGTCATATCATCGCATTTAATATCGGCAATATGACGTTGTGCACCGAATGACATCCCCTTTTGTGAGGCTAGTTTATTTGTCCCGGCTTGTAGACCAATTATACCTTCCCCGGCGCGTAATTGCTCCTCTGACCATTGACGTGGTTGCGAATAAGTTGGTTTAGGCCCACAAACTGGTCCTTGAAATCCATTACGTTGACACTGGATAACGACAGCAAAGAAAAGATGAGAAGAAACTCATTAAGTTATGGATACAGTGAAGGCTATACTGGGAGAAAATGTATCTCAGATATTGTATTTTTTCACATAGAAAAGTATTAAATAAGATAATGATGCACCATCTGTTTATTTATTATTTTATTTTATTCCTTCGCGTTCCACATGGACAAAATGGAGGGTCTTCCGAACACCTTGAGATGAGCAGCAATCTTCGAATGTTTGGTATGCGATTCGCTCCCGCCAAATGTAAGATGATGCTAAAGGACTCTACTGGACTACATTGACTCCTAGCTTAGAAATAGGGAGTGAATTGGTAAAGCATGTTGGCCACTTCACTTATTTAGGTAGTTGCATCAGCCAACGCCAGCGGACTGATCGCTGACGAAATCTCAGAACGGATAGAGAAGGCTCTTTTCGCATATGCCAGTTTACTCCATCTCTGACGTAGACATGATATCGGCTGGCTGTCGGCCAAAGGACGTGCGTACTGCTCAGCTATCCGCTTCGTTCTCCTTTATGGCTGTAAGACGTGGCCATTGACAGTAGAAGACACGAAAGGCCTGTTTGGCTAGCTGTCTTTGATCATAAGTGTCTGCGTTCTATCTTACCTGTGAAATGGTGTAATAGGGTGAGCAAATTGAGGTTAGGCGTCGAGTGCTAGGTAGGTGGGAGGGGAAATCAATTGACAGGACTGTGAAGTTACATCGACTGAGATAGTTAGAACATGTGTTCCGTATGCATCCCTAGCCATCCACAGCCTACCTTGACAATGGGAAATGTTACCTGACATAGGGTCAGCATGCAAAAGAGCTAGTGGTTGGTGGTCAAACCAAAACACGGCCTCATCAGACAATCAAATCCACAACAGTCAATTTGAGCCACGTAGGGAGGTGTAGACTGACTGGCTGTTTGAGATGCTCAGGACAGTAAACACCAGTGGCTGGGACCATTATCGGTGATATGGCTCAACCTCATCGTTCTCGATGGCTGGCTCAGATGCATCCACTCTTGTAACTTGTAATACCCAATGAAACTATATTGTTCTTCGATATTACTATTCTTTTCGCGTCATATCTCTGTTTACTGTCTCTATTTTGCATTTCTTTTTACTTTCTTCTTCTTCTGCTTCTATGGCTTTATGTGCTGAGTGAAATGTGCCGACACGAAATGCTGCACACGCGCGAAAGTTCTATGTTGAAATCAGACAGACAGTTCCACATGGAACGTTAATCTTCAAGCTTCAACCTTGAAATTTAAGTGGCAACAGTGCTGTGATTTACGCAGTGACGCTGCCACCCTCACCTCTTACCTTCTTTTTTTATCGGGCTTACTAACGGCTAAGCGAGGATTAAGAGGAGTGCACTGGCGGGGAATCAAACCCTGAGTCACGTGTGTGGTTGGCGTGTTCTATACCGCTGAACCTATAGACACCCAAATTATCTATTTTTTTCCTTCATGTTCCCCCGTGGAACATAGGGCCTAGTGGCTTGAAGTTTCTGTAGCAGTTTTTATTTTACAGGATGGGGTTGCTGCTAGCCTCATGCCCAACCTTTCCTCTTTACCAGTCTCATTGCTGGTTTAGCGAGGTAAAGGAGTGCATTGGCCGGCGATCGAACCCCGGACCATGTGCATGATCGGTGAGCGTCATAACCGCTATGCCACCGACGCACTCAATTGTCTATACATTACATAAACATAGGTATTTATAAGTTTATTGCTTCACAACATGACAAAACAGCTACCTTCAAAAGTTTACTCCGAAGAAGTGAATATTTAATGTTAGAATTTTTTCAGGAATTGTGGAAAAGTGTGACGGAAGGTGGGATAGAAATCTTGACCATGGCAGAATTCGAAACATTGGCTAATGTATTACTAGTTGAGACCTATTACAAGTAACTGACTCCACTGCTAACCGCCGAATTAGGAATCCAGAGGCTTTTAGTTTGAATGCTTCTGCGATGTAGTTTTTTTACATTTCGCCTTTATAGTCATCATCATCATCATACTATTCATTACATCAATATTACTTGATGTGTGTTTCGCCCTACCTTGAGACCCTTCAGCAATATTCTGGGGTTCAAAACCAGGTTCTTCTAGTCACTAAGCGGAATCGTAGAGCATTCTGCCATTGGAACTCGATCCAGTAGTCCGTGAGTTCCAACTTCCGCCAATTCACGATATATATGTATATATATACTTCAGTAAGAGTCCGGGTTACTTCTTGCATTGAGTTAACCACTAGTGAGCATCATACTAGTGTCCAAATGTTATTGTGCAAGGATTTGACCAATTACAGGTTACAGCTGAAGAGTCCGACACTAGGATGAAACAGCTCTTCACTGCTTCCTAATTGATGTCAGCTTATTATCAAAACTGTAGCCAATCAAATGACTATAAACCAATACTTGAAAACATCAGTAGTAGCAGGATAAAATTAATGGTGTGAGATTTGAATTCACTGCCAGATTGACGAAACGTTTGATGCTTTAGGTATATTTAACAATTGGAAAATAGTGATAACATAAACTTGAAGGAATTCATGTAAGAATTACTGAACGAAGATGTCTTCTCTTATAGACAGTGATAGAAACCATAATATAGACTGGTTCATGGATAATAGAGTGAAATTTCAAAAAACAATGGTCAGTTCAAGTTCACACTCGAAAGAATATAATCACTAATTTTACAAGGGAATAAAATGTTAAGATTGGCCATTGTTCAGCCTGGAATAGAGAGCCTACAAATGGTTAGAAGAAAAGATTACACTGAATGGTTTGTTCTCCTAAAAACTAGTGTATAATTAGCCACTCATTGGGTACATCAATTATGTGACTAACATCTCCAAGTAAACTGAGTGACTGATAGATTTCAACATAGAACTTTGCGCCCGTGTGCAGCATTTCGTGTTGGCACATTTCACTCAGCACATAAAGCCATAGAAGAAGAAGAAGAAAGTAAAAAGAAATGCAAAATAGAGACAGTAAACAGAGATATGAGGCGAAAAGAATAGTAATATCGAAGAACAATATAGTTTCATTGGATATTACAAGTCACGGTGTAACATGTGACCCTCAGAAAACTTCACTGAATCATGTGGCCATCTAAAGCACAAATATTATTTCAACGTTTATTTGTACTACTACTATTGAAATGTCTTCTTCTAATACTATCTATCACTACTACTACTACTACTTTTTTCCGCATTATTTGATTAAATCACGCGAATTTATTACTATTATTATTATTATTATTATCAGTAGTAGTAGTAGGAGTATTATAATAAATGAATGTTTAAGGGATTGGAAATTTGTACTTTAAAGTGCATGCATACATAAATTTATTACATAATCCCTTTCTTTTCCACATATATACATATATATGCCACCTATTCATATATATATATATAATATATATATATATATATATATATATATATATATATATATATATATATATATATATATAATATATATATATATATATATATAATCAGATCATTGATACATACTGATGACTACTACTAAGCTTTAAATATTTACAAAGAACTTTGTATAAAAGTGCAACAGTTTCACCAGGTTACCATTTCTTCCAATATATATTACACAAAAGGGAAGGGAGAAAAATTCCAAAGAAACTATAAAAAAGGCAAATGTACTGGAGAAAGAATAAAGATATATATATATCTTTATTATACTATATAAAGGAAGCCGATAAAACATGATATTGAGTGACCGTCAACTTAAGACTAACAGCATCAGTAAATCATCATACTTTCTACTGAAGAATGCAATGATTTCTAAGAGAAAAAGCAGAGGTACAATACAAAAAAATCTCTTTTATCAGAGTGCATTGTACTTAAACAATATATATATATATATATATATATATATATATATATATTAGAAGAATGTTTCTACTTGATTAAAGAAGCGCCGATTAAACATTTTAACGCGAAGGAGATTCAGGAGTAAGACAAGCCTACTGCCTATTATCACCGATGAAATTCCTAATTGTGGTGGACCGGGTTATACTTCAGACTGCTTCTAGTTTACTTAGAAAGTAACTGCCAACATGGGACCCAATAGGGAGCCTATTTCCACCCCGTACACTTGTCTGTAAAGTGTGCCATGAAATTTGAAATTTACATTCATGGTACACCTTAATTACAATTCTTTTAGGATTTCTGTTGGGACATCAGTGTCTATCGACTGGTTGTACACTTGTTCGCATATGTAGTTAACGGTTTCTACTAGAGATACATTTGTGAATAGCGATGTTATGTCCAAAGATATCATAGTTTTATGCTTGATATTAATATCCTTGATTTTCTTTTGATTTTTTTGATTTTTATTTTAATTACAGCTTGATTCCACACTGTATTTTTGGTACAAGTATGGAATTTTCAGCATGCATATCGGTGGCCCAAATTTTGCAGGCCGACCATAGATATCAGGTGTGCTTCGGCAGGGCATTGAACCTCGGATCATGTGCATGGTCGGCGACAGTCCTAACAACTGTGCCACCGATGCACAGTCAACGAATTCAAATACATCCTTGATGCTATGTTTCACTATCTGCTCATGCAAACGTTTGAACATATTTAATAACTATCTAGCTAGAGCGTGGTAGGACGAATTTTGTAAATCAAGTATTGGTCTTAGCGGTACTCCCTCGGTTTATTTACTTTAGGAAAGCCATACACTCTTGGCGTGCACATGCCCGTTGGCCTGAGTTCATCATATAAACTTTCAGGAAATATCTGTTCCTCTCTTAGTTACTTCAAACATTTGGTTAATTCGTTCTCTATTTTGTTATTGCAATCTTTCTTCCCCCCA